ACTTTTGGAGTTTGAGACTTTGACTATTGAATAACATTTTTTTTTATCGATGCTTTGTCCGTTATTTTCGAGTGTTACTCAAAATTCAATCGAGTTACATAGGTAGGTTTTAATACCGGTTACATTTTTGTAAGTATGCTTTTATTGTATGTGATTAATTTTTCTGAATGCTCTTGACTTTTGTGTCTCTTGCAGTGGATGCTCCAAATTCTTGGTGCAACCAGCTATATCTACTGTATTGGTAACGACAAATTTAGAGAGGAGATAAAGAAAAATGATTGAATGGTTCTGCACTTTACGAGATTTAATTGATGATTAAAATTTCTCAAGTTGACAATTGTGCTTTAGTCTTTACTCTATCAAGGCCAATAATTATGGGTATTCATTTTTTCTCTCTTTTTTATACCTTTTGTAGGAGTGATTTATCAAGTTCCCTATAAAGAAAATGGTATGAGCATTTTATATCCCTTTTGTTTTCATCAGCTTTAATGGTTAAAGCATTTCTATTATAGAATAGTGGCCTAATTTTATTTGCTTTTCTTTTATTGAATGAATGAAAGACTTTGAATATCAAAATTATTATTCTCTCTCTCTCTCTCTTTTGGTAAGAAAAATGTTCATCTTTGTTGTCTTGGTTTGATCGACAATTGAAGTGATATGGATAAACCGTGTGCATTCCGAATAGGTGATCGACAAATGTTTATCTTTATTGATGTTTACAGTTGTGCAATTGAGTGTTGGATATATCATATATGGCTATAGATTCTAGGCTAAGATTAGCGTTTACTTTTATAAGGTGATGATATGGCTTGGGTATAAAATGTTTGGTTATTAGTGAGGGAAATTTTTTACATGACCATGTTGAAAACACATGGAAGCTTTATTAGTGTGGTAATTAGATAATCTTTGGTCATATTAACAAATATTGCTAGCACAATATGTCGCTACACGACATCGGATGGGACCCCCCAAAAGAAAAATTAAAGGTTTGGGCATTAATTATTTACACAATTATTATTTATAAAGTTTTGGAGTCGTCACCTAGTATTTAAGGAACTAGGAACCTAAAAGTAGCACTCGGTTCAAAGATTCCTAAGGTAAGGAGTTGGTTACGCTTTTAGGAAGATATTTAATCACCTAAAAGCGCCCTTTTCGAAAAAAGGTACCATGTACGATTTAATTCTAAATTATCTCCTAAAATCCATGTCAAGCTATTTTCTAAATTTTAATCTCCTATTTTCTTTTAGACTAAATGAATTTTTTAGTTTTGGGCGTGGCATCATATTGAAACGATTGTCGGTCCCCTTCGTTGGGTGACACGTCGATTCAAATATCGAATCCACTAAAAGCCTCGACACAACCGACGTGTCGGAAGACATCTTAATTAAAAAGTGATTTTGATGATGTCGACCCTATCAAATAGGAGGCTTCGCCAATTTTTGGGCTTTTTTTTTGTGACGTCGGTCTCTATCGGATAGGAGACTTCGTCAAAATTATATATATATAATTTTTCTAGCAATACATATTAAAGAAAAGAAAAAAATTGAAATAAAAATTCTAAATTAATAAAGAAAAACTACAAGAAATAAAATAAACGAGGCTAAAAAATTAAATAAAAAAATCATCCTATATAAACGAGGCTAAAAAAAAAGACAATAAAAGTAATTAAAAAAAAATTCTATACCTAAAATATTAACCTACCACTTTTACTCTCTTTTTTTTTTTTTACCTACTTTTTATTCCCTAATTCTATTATTTATTTATTTATTTTGAAGAAAGGGTGCATTTCGACTTGACCCCCTTTTCTTTTTTTTTTTTGTTGGGAGACATTTCGATCCGACTCAAAGCGTTTTCTCTTCTTTTTTTTTTTTTTTAATTGCTTGGGCTTAAGCCCAAAAACAAGCCCGGGTAAGAAAAATCAAATGCGGATGGATCAAATGGCCTCCCAACACTCTCTCTCTCTCTTGTTCTTAATTCGTTCTTCAATGTTCTCTCTCTAGTTCTTCAAATTTTCTAGAAATTAAACTCTTTTTTCAAACAACAAACTCAATCACGCATACCATAATTCAAGACAAGAAATAAATAGCAAGTAAACATTTGAAATTAAAATGAATAACGAAATAAAAAAGAACATGGAATCGAATTTAGGGACTCACCTTGAAAACTTCCGAAGAACACCAAGATGAACCCAAAAAATTAAAAGAAAAACCCGATAACGCGACGACCACGAGTGCTTGTTTCTCGCGAATGTATTGAAATCTTACCCTCGGTTTCCTTTCCTTTGTCCTAACAAACTGAAATCTTCCTCGAATTGAAGTCAAAGATGCCTCAGGCGATTCCGGGTTGAAGAACACAAACCCGAAATATGAACTTGCAACCCGGAACCTAGAAAAATGCGGTGATCAAAACTAAAAATTAAGCCTTTTGTTTTTTATTTTCGAAACCTCTCTACCCGAATTATTCACCTAATTTTTCTCCCCTCTTCTTTCTGTGAAATTCAAACGTTTTATAGCTAAAAAATTTCCTAAAATTAGATCAAAATCCCCGAATTTTTTGTCAAAAATTTTCCGATTTAATTCATGATTAATTGTGAAATTAAAACGGAAAATTCTCATTGATTCTTGTTAGCGTTGGTTTTGGCAACAAAATCCATAGTTAATACACAATCAAAAAACAAGAAATTCATGAAGGATTTGGGCGGATTCTCCCAAAGATTTTCGGAGAGAATCTGTCTTGGAGCGAACAACGGGTCGTTTGCTCCATTTCGATCCTGTCGCTCTCTCCAAACTTTCGGTTTAGTCCTCGCGTTTTAATTTCAGCAATTACGCCCCTCTCGCAAAATAATTTCAATACAATCTCAACAATTAGGTCCCCGGAGGTGCAATTTAAGACCTAAACTTTTTAATTGACTCAATTACATCCCTAATTACTTCAATTGTATCCCTAAATGACTTTTTTTGTGTTTTTATCATTTTCTTTCTTTTTTTTCTTTTTCCTTAATAAACTTCAAATTAAAAACAAAAAAAAATAACAATAAATAAAAAATAAAAAAATAAAAAAAATAAAAATTTGTGTTATTACACAATAGATGTTCGTTTTGAATGTTGAAAGCAAAAATTTTATATTGTGTGTGCCCCGATAAGATTCATTATTGATGAAGTTTGTGTTAAGTTGATGTAGTTGATGATATAGGCGGTGAATGATTTTATGTTGTGTATGCCACGAGAAAATTCATTATTGATGAAGTTTGTATTAAGTTAGTGTAGTTGATGATACGGGCGAGTGAATGATACATGAGTGGTCGAAGAGCCTTAAATTGCTACTTGCTTGGCTTCTTTATTTTGACGTGCACACGACTAAGCTTTATTAAACACATACTCAATTGGTCGAGATAAGATTTATGAGACAAAGAATTGGAAAATAAAAATGTTCATTTTGATTTTTGTTTTCATGCTTGGAATTTTTGCAAGGAGGTATTAGATGAAACTTCTTCGACACTAGAATTCTTACGTTATATTTAATACATAAATAAAGAATAATGAAAGGAAACACATTGTTAAAAGAGATTGCTTCGGGTTACGTAGTTAAAAGATGAAATCAACAATTTTTACATTAATTAGAGGAGCACACATATGAGTGGATTATGAAGCCCTATATAAGATTACCCTTTTTATTAATATTTGTGTATGTTGGCATGCTTTCGGACTATTTTTACAAAGAAAGAATTGATTGAATTCTTGTTGATTTTAATAGAGCTTATTTTGAAACGGATGTGGAGGCTTTTATTTTTCACTTGAAGAGTAACTAGAGATGTGTGATGGCTTTGTTTTACGGTATTCTCCACCCATTGTTCTTCTTCTTACCAGCGAGGTCCCTTTCCAATTTTTCTTTTAGGGAAAACATTTACGTTCGATTGTTGTTATTACTTGGGTGTCATTCCTGCCTTTGTTTTGTTTGTTCCTTGCATTTAAGTCAAGGTGCTTGCCAAAGATAAAATTTTTGGCTCCCAATACATTCTTTCCTCCGCCCTGTAGCATCCGCATTGTTATATTTCTATTCTTGGTCTTTGAGTGTTGGCTTCTATAAGCTGATTGTTTCTTTGTTTTGGTCAACGTACTGCGATTATGATATCTTCTCTAATCGTGTTTTTTGTCCATGCTTATAATCTTAAACTCTAAATTATTATCAATAGTCCTATGGATTTTTTTCCTTACTTCACTGCAACTAATAAACCTCATATAAAGATACAATGATATCTTTGTTGTGTATATAGGATTCGGACAAATCACAAATTTATACTTAGCATGCTTATATGAAACCTATTAGGGTAGGTAATGTAAGTTACTCTGCATCTTTTGTTTGCAATGTCTAGGTTGTTTGTACTTGTCTAAGAGATTTAAATAGAATGTGAAATCGGGTACATTATTACGAGGATGAGGTTGCTCCACCTTGACATATTTTTGCCCACACTTGGTCCTTACTCCTCACTCTTTTTTTTTTTTTTTTGGTTACTTGTTTTTAGTACCTTTACATTAAAAACAACCAATTCTAGAGAGAGAAAGAAATAAATAAAAATATATAGAGATAATTTCATGGTGCTTTGTTTTGTTTTGTTTTGTAGTCTTTTTGAATCACAATAATTAGAGAGAGTTTATTTTTCTTAATGAATAGAAAATGCGGGAGAGAGTGAGTCGGCAAGTGAGTGAGCAAATGGTGACTTCCGTATCTTAATCTTTGAAGGATCCGTATTTCTCTAATTTGTTCAAATTTATTTCCTTTTGAGCTCGAAATGCATTGATTCGGTTCAAATTCACAAAATTTAAGTTTTTGGGTTTTTATCTTTATTTGGCAATTGTTATGTTCTCTTTTTTATTAAAAAAGTATTTTTTAATTTATTAAGAATTAATTTGACAATTACCATGATTTCTAGATAATTAGCGCCAAGTTCTCTTTTTTTTTTTTTTTTTTTTTTGCTATTGCATGCAAGGTTGTGTGCTAAGGTTGCCGACACCATGGCTGTTTTAGGGAAATGGTTTAAAGCATTGGTTGGCTTAAAGAAGTCTAAAAAGTTAGTCTCTTCGGATAAGGAGGAATCTATGGCTTTTTTTTTTCAAGTTTTGATTTTGATAGCTTCGATGTGTTGTTGTTCTCAGACCTTCATAATGGACAATGTAATAACCCAAAATTTTCTTATTTTTTAGTTATTATTATTTTTAATTTAATTTATTTTTTATTTTATTTATTTTATTTTTTATTTTTATTTATTGTTTTTGTTTTTGTTTTTTTTTGTTTTTAATTTGAAGTTTATTAAGGAAAAAGAAAAAAAGAAAGAAAATGATGACAAAAAAACAAAAAAATTCATTTAGGGGTGCAATTGAAGTAATTAGGGGTGTAATCGAGTCAATTAAAAAGTTTAGGCCTTAAATTCCACCTCCGGGGACCTAATTGTTGAGATTGTACTGAAATTATTTCGCGAGAGGGCGTAATTGCTGAAATTGAAACGCGAAGACCAAGCCGAAAGTTTGGAGCAAACGACGAGGCGGATTCTCTCCAAAAATCTTTGGGAGAATGCTGCTCAAATCCTCCATAAATTTCTTGTTTTTGATTGTGTATTAATCATGGATTTTGTTGTCAAAACCAACACTAACATGAATCAATAAGAATTTCCTGTTTTGATTTCACAATTAATCATGAATTAAAGAGGAAAATTTTTGACGAGAAAATTCGGGGATTTCAATTCAATTTTAGGAAATGTTTTGGCTATAAAACGTTTGAATTTCACAAAAAGAAGGGAGGATTTTGGGAGAGTAATTCTAGGTAGAGAGGTTTCGAAAATCAAAAGCAAAAGGCTTAATTTTTAGTTTTTGATAACTCGCATTTTTACGGGTTTTACGGGTTTCGAGTTCTTCGTGTTCTTGGGTTTTTAGGTTTCGGTTCATCATCGGTCGATCCTTTTTAGTTCCTTTTTTTTGTTAAATCTCTACTGTCATAGTTTTCTTCATCTCCCAGTTGGAAATTCAAAGCGCAATTCTTACATTCTCGATTCTTGTTCTTCACGTTTCGGGTAGAGTTAGGTTTACGGGTTTCGCGTTCTTCATTTTTACGGGTTTGTCTTCAAACTCCGGATTTGGTCCACGATTTTCTTTCTTTCTTTTCCATTAGAGATTTACGGGTAAAGGCTTTCGGTTCATCCGCGAATCCCCGAGATCCCTCTTCACTAAATCGAGTGCGAGGCGATCAATCTTACTGCGAAATCGACAACAATCATCAACCTAAGCACGCAAGGTTTATTCCCTTTTTATTTCGTTTTGGTAACTCGGAATTCCGGTTGTTTGTTTGATTACTTGTTGAGTTTAATCCCTCGGTTTGTGATTAAGACGAAGGGTGTGACATACGTTAATAATCATTCGTCCAAAATAGTACCTTAAATTTACGGAGAAATCTGGAAAATAGAGGAAGAACTTGAAGAACGAATTAAGAACAAAGAGAGAAAGTGTTGGGAGGCGATTTGATTCATATGCATTTGATTTTTCTTACTCGGGCTTGTTTCTAGGCTTAAGCCCAGCAATTAAAAAAAAGAGAAAATGCTTTGGGTTGGACTTATTTCGATCCGGCCCGTGTCTCCCACCCAAAAAAAAGGGGGAGGGGCTGGCGATTTCGGCCTTGCCCGCACCCTTTCTCTCAAAAAAAGGGAGGCCCGACCGCGACCCGCCTTAAAAAAATAATAAAAATAAAATAAAAAATAGAATTAGGGAATAAAAAAAAAGGGTAAAAAGAAAAAAGGAAAAAGGGGGGATGGGTAATAAAAAAAAAAAAAAGAGTAAAAGTTGTAGGTTAATATTTTAGGTATAGAATTTTTATTGTTAGTTATTTTTTTACTCGCTTACATAGGATATTTTTTTTAATTTTGTATTTTATTTTTATTATTTTTATTTAATTTTTAGCCTATCTATTTTACTTCTTGTAGTTTTTTTTTCTTTATTAATTTAGAACTTTTATTTCAGCTTTTTGATATGTATTGCTAGAAAATTATATATATTTTGACGAAGTCTCCTATCCGATAGGGACCGACGTCGCAAAAAAAAATGCCAAAAAAATTGGCGAAGTCTCCTATCCGATAGGGACCGATGCCACACGAAAGAAAAAAAATCACCTTTTAATCAAGATGTCCTCCGACACGCCGGTTGCGTCGAGGCTTTTAGTGAATCCGATGTTTGAATCAACATGTCACCCAACGAAGGGGACCGACGATCATTTCAATATGATGCCACGCCCAAAACTAAAAAATTTTATTTATTCTAAAAAATAGGAGTTTTAAAAATTAGAAAATATCTTGACATGGATTTTTAGGAGATAATTTAAGACTAAACCGTGCATGGTACCTTTTTTTGAAAAGCACGCTTTTAGGTGATTAAAGATCTTCTTAAAAGCGTAACCAACTCCTTACCTTAAGAATCTCTAAACCGAGTGCTACTTTTAGGTTCCTAGTTCCCGAAATACTAGATGGCAACTCCAAAACTCGTAAATAATTTTGTATATAATTAACGCCCGAACTTTTAATTTTCTTTTGGGGGGTCTCGTCCGATGTCGCGTAGCGACGGACAACGAATACCAAGTCTCGACATAGGATAAACATTCGATTGAGTTTGATGCTAATAAATTTCAAAGTTTAATTATCATAATGATGTTGCACCAATTGGTGATGCCAATATTCATTACGTCCCGATACTTCGAATCTCCAACTCGCTTCACTTTAAGTTTAGGACATAGCTCATAATCAACAAATTTGGAGACATGATTAGGCTACCACTCGCATTAAGACATCTTTTTGATGGTTTCTAGCATGAATTATTTATAATTTTACTATTTGTATTAAATAAGGTTTTAAATATCCGTGTATTTTGGTTCTGTCTATTTTATCTTTATGGTATGAAATGCTATTTGAATTTTTGATTGTTAAGATTGTTATTTTCAATGCTGCCAAGGGTCGTAAGTTAGCAAATCTTTAATGATATGGTAATTTCACATTGTCTTACGAGATTGCTCTTCAAGTACTCTCTCCATGCAAATAGAGATTTTTTTTATCTCGTTTCACCGTGGATCACTTTTGGTTTCTCATACTTGGATGGAACTAATTAATTTGTCATTTCGTGCTAAAAGAATGTCCTTTTGGGTGAATATCTTAGAATAATGGATACTTGGATGGATGTCATCTTTTCACAAAGTTCATCTTTGTTTTCTTTGAATCGTTTAGAATTTGATGTCATAGCTATTGGGTTGTCTTGTCAAGGATTGTTCAAACCTCCAAGCAATTGCTTTAGATTATTGCGACTACATTTCGACCATAGTATGAAACATTAAAGTTGTGCTTCTCTAATTTTTTCTTATTTTAGCTATATTGGTGCAAAATCATGATTCATTCCTTTAATTTTTTGCTATATAAATAATTTTTGGTTTGGAGCTTCGTCTAATTATTAGATATTGATTTTATATTTTTAGATTATTTTAATATAAATTATTTTCATATTAATTTAGAATATTTTATGATGTTATTTATAAATATTATTACTCCAAACATATTTTATCATATCAGACCCACAACGAAGAACGAGTCACTAACTAGTAAATCATAAAAGATCTCTAAATATACGGGAATATGAAAAACATATTGTTTCTTGACTTGTCGAGTATGTAGTCAATCTAATTATATATTGATTTTTTTATTATAAAAAAATCATATTGCTAAAACATAGCCAGGTTTTCAATTTTTGATTTTGCATCGATCTAAATAAGGGTTTGATGATCCAAAATATCCATTATGGAAGAATTATGAGGATCATAAAGTATACTGTGGGCTAATGGTTTTACAATACCAGCTGCAAAAGTGTCGTTCTCTTTCTGCTTAGGATTTAGGAAGATGGGAAGAAGATATTTGAACCATTTTTTGACGATGGAAACAATTATTTATACGCTCCACTTTCGTGCTACCAAGCCATGGAATGGGGCCCATACCTGAAAATCTCCGAACCCTACCACCATTGATACAATATTCTATACCAATCCAATGGTCAAAACTATATGAAATGACTAGCCTTCTAAACGAAGGAAACCTGTCTCCCAAAAAGAACACACCAGCAAGAAATGAAAAGGAAAAGGGAAGGGAATCACCTGAAAGTAACTTGGGTGATTGGTCAATTAAATATCTGTAATCTATACTTCTCCAATCCTTAGTAGTGAAGTATTCTTTTTTTTTTTTTTTTAAGAAAAATAAATGATTCAGCACACACTATTTCTTGGCCTTAATTAGATTTTTCATTATTCATAAAAATGTGAAAGGAATGTGAATTGGTTAATTAAGAGAGTTAATTAAGAGGATTGGTTTGAGTAGAAAAAACTTTAGTCATTTAATTAAATATTTTTTATTTCGAATTCATATACATATAGAAAACTCTTTAGGTAGATATATCCAACTTATTTATCCGATCGAATAATGAGAAATTAGTCCGAGGTTTTGGGTAGAATCCAAAAAGAAAATGAATCGATTTTTTGATAAAAATGACAGTTTAGCCATTAGTTTTTTTTTTTTAACCAAATTATAGAAAATGAACTGCAAACGGTCAACATTAAAAAATATATATATTTTTTACCAAGTGATCAATTAAGTTGTCAGGTGGTATAAGAAAGGTTAAGAAAAGAAAAAGTGATTTTATGGTAGACGCTAGCCAGATAAAACGGGCTGGCCCAAAAAATGATTGCTAAATAATTGCACCAATGTGAATAATTTTTTATGTTCTGTGGTAAAAACTAATGTTGTAAATTGCTAGTCTTAAAACCTAATCCCTAATGAGCAAGGAAATTTGCTTCTTCTGTTTTTTTCTTAAAATTTTGAATTTAAATTTCAAGATTAGTTTTCTTAATGCATATCGATATAGACGAAGCATCCTTAACATTGTCTAAAGAAAACTTGTAGAGTTTTGATTGAAGCAAACACAAACTAATACCAAATATTTTTTACGGTCAAAGAAAAACAAAAATATAGAAAATACAATGAAAAACATTAATAAAGTCTCCTATTTAATAAAAACTGATGTTGTTAATTCAAATTGATTACATTTTAATAATTAAGTCATTTTTCGATATACTAATTATGTCAAGATTTAAATTGAAATAGACGATGAATTGTCGAGACGTTCGGTAGAGAGGTCCAACAATTGGTTCAATATAATATCATAAACAAAAATAAAAAAATTAATTTAATATAGGAAATAAAACTTGGAATTTTAACTTACTAATACCATTTTTTGTTATCATACTAGTGATAATAATTATGAAAACAATTCTCAGACAGAAATTATATATAGTAGAAAGGACTTCTAATATAAACTAGATGACAGATTTATTCAATATGAACATGTTTTTATACAGTGATAGGTAGCAGAAGGGCTTGAAAACAAGCCCTTAGAGCTAGCTGTTCTATTGAAAAAAAAAAAAAAAAAAAAAGCAACACACAAACTTTTCCATAATTCACAGATCAGAGGATGATCAGTTGATGATACATTTCATCCTCATACAGATAAGATCCCATCTAGATTTTACACACAAGCCTTTCCTTAGCTCTACATGAGGCAGCAGGCATTGACATTGTCATCATTGAACATGTTGCTGACCTTGTCGTCTCCCCGGTGGCTAACTGGGAGGGTTCCATGCCTGTCTGCAAGATTGTAGCCATGCTTGTAATAGTTGTAACTCTCTTTGAAATCACTTGTTGTGTCCTTGAAATAGATATTAGCAGATGTGAAGTACAATGGTGGATTCGGATAAGGCCAGAATTCTGCCCTCTTTCCTGCCCTTCTCACTGCCTTGAGGACTTTGTTTCGATCCACATACCCCACAACTGTTACCTTTTCCATCTCTAGGTCCACCTCCACTGAATCAATGCCTAACAATACACAGTTGTTCATTCCAAAATTTGGAATGAAGATTAATGAAAATAGAGATAAAACAAAAACAACCATTTTTTTCCTTCTGAAATTAGCAAGACATTCCAAATTAATTGCACAAAAATATACCTCTAAGCTTATGAATGGCATTCTTGACAACTCTTTCACAGCCAGTGCAGCACATCCTGACTTTGAGGTCTACAGTCTGTTAAAGGAAAAAATGGACATGGTTTAAACACGGTTTGGAGAGATTCTGATTAACAAAAGTGTAAGTTATTTCTTTCTTCTTATTCCTTTGTTCCCTTTTCTCCTTTTGAAACCCTTTATGCTTTAGGCGGTTAAACCAAACGGATTAAGGAAAAGTCAGGTTGGGCTACATTAAATTGATGCTTCAGGATTCTTATGCTCTCTAGGGTTTGGGAAAGTTGGTTTTTCCATTATCTTTCTATAATCAAAGCAAACAGAAGAAACGTGTTTCAGTCCTGAGAGAGATTAATAAAATACCAAATAAAAACTTTTGGGTTTGTCCGATAGGATTTTTTATTTATTTTAATGATCATTGGTCAAATTGCATGAAATTATATATATATATTAGCAACTTAATTTAGAGGAAAATAAATTCCTCTGTCATGAATAACAAGTTGGCTCGTTGCTTTATTGAAACAAAGATTTGGGTTCAAAATCACCCAAAAAATAAAACAAATTATCTTCATTTCAAAGTTTGTGGAGGCAATAACCTAATGAAAAATAGAAGTACTAGAAAAATAAGAAAGAGTATTTGAGGTTTTGGGATTGAATCCTGCTCCTACCATCCGAGGATATTTTAATCCTGTGTAAATTCTTGATTCTTGTTCTTACAAAAAAAAAAAAAAAAAAAGAAGGGGGGTGGGGGGAATAAATATATAAACATTTAGGGAATTAATTTTTTCCTTTATATATACAGGTTGGAATAGGGTTCAAAAATACTATCCAGATCCAGATCGTTTCCATGAAAAGAAAAAAAAAAAAAAAAAAACATGTATGTATAAACACCATGCAAAATTGGGTATGATCCAAAAGTTATAAATTTATCCTCACCCAAAAGATATATATATATATATATATATATATATATCATTTCTTTTACATACGAAACAAACTAAACTTTTTTCCTGGTCCATGCCCCTCCACCTAGCCAGGAAAAAAAAATGTTTTTTTGGTCTATGCCCTTGAATTTTCTCTCTTGCATGGCAAGTTGAACATGAAAACTAAGGTCCTGAAAGCTCAAGCAATAGAGAGGGAGATACCTTAATTGCTCAGAAACAGGAAAAAAACAAACTAGTTGAAGGAGATGAAAGCGAACCTGCAAAGAAAGTGGTTTCCCCTTCGGCATGTTGTGTTTGATATTTCTGACCCTTACGTGGTCTTCTCGAAAGTAAAAGTAAGAGTAAGCAATGGAAGAAATGATAGACTTAAATGCTCTCTCTAAGATGGTAGCCATGGCAGTCAATAGAGTTCCCTTAAATATATAAAGCAAAGAACGTTTAAGGGGGAGTTAAACTAGCTAGAAAGGCAAGCCAGACCCAAGAAGATATTCCTTTGTGTGCTGTATTGGTATCGCTTCTGTCAAAGTTCTATTCCATTTGGCATGCAATATATTCCATTGCAATATGACTAGTTTTCTTGAGCTCAAATTCAATGGAATTTGGAAATGTGGTCTCTTCCACAATAATTAAAAATTTTCGAGAAGGGAATGGCATCTAACCCTCCCTCTCACATTTTAATTAATTAAATTATGTATAATTTTGATATGTGGCTCAAGAGAAGATGGTTTCCTGATGACATAGACAAAGAGGAATATCATGAGTCATAGGTGATATGGTTTGGATGGGCTTAAGGAAAGAAAGATGGGTTTTGATGCAAAGTGATGATCAACATATATTCTAAAATCTTCCTTTCTCCACCATCTTTGAAATCACTACACAGCATGCACCATCTATCCAGAATGCCTCACAAAGTTATATTCCCACATGTACAATAATTTTATTGTTATGTGCACGTTAGGTATTCTTCTCTAAGGTATAGAATGTTTAGTATTTTTGTACAAGCTAATTAAGAGAAGTTAAACAGAACCTAGCTTTTGGGTTGGTATATGAATATTTTTTATGAATATAAATTAATGAAGGTATACATATAGGTATCAATTAGGTAAGAGCATCATAGATTAAATTAACAATAAATAATAATTATAATTTATTCCTATCAAAACCACCAAATTCTAACCATTTAAAGTATTATTCCAAAAATCACACCACCCATGTAACCAAAAAAAAAAAAAATAGAAAACCAATAAATTGTTAATCCAACTATAAGACAGTTGATCTTCGAATAAATTTACTATTAATACACATGATTTAAATTTTAAAAACGTATTTATTGAGAAGAATTAAATTTTATTGCTTCCATCCTGAAAAAGATTTAAAATACTTAATTATTCGGCCCATACATGCTTGACTAAATAAAATCTAATATTTGACCATGCATACAATAAGGAAAATCTAACAACCATATGGATAAATAGATAAAAACTATGACCACCAAAACCCACTCTAAATTGTCCACATAATGTATCGGTTGGCTTGATTAGTACTCCACCCCTTCAATTTTTTTTTTCATTCCTATATGTTCTGTTTTGTTACTAACTAGCTTTTCCGGTCAATTATGTGACTAATTGCAATTACCTTTTCGACCATCAAATGGTGGCTAAATGGACACATAGGACCGATTTAGTAATAGAACATAACATTATTTATCTATGGTATCGTTTTTATCCGAAAACAGAGAGATTGGTTTGGTTTGAACGATTTTAAAATAAAAAACTTAATTTAACCATATGAGCAAAGTAGAGGGACCATGTTAGCCAGTTTTTTCATGCAAAATGTACTAGAAAATTCTCGGAATACCGTGTGAACATTGGAATCAAACTGTTTGAAAAAAAAGAAAAAAAAACAATACCGTGTGTACTTTCATTGGGAGATTACTGACATGATTATTATTCTCACTTAATGGAAGGTTTGATAGTGCATGCCATCGATCCTTCACCTCTTTTAAATCTGATAGTTTTCTATCACTTGATATTTATTCAAAGGAGAAAATTCTTGTTCCTTGAATAAGTATTTAATCAAAAGACAGAAAGCATAACCGAATGTACGTCTTTTAAATAATTTTATCCTCTAATGTAGGCATGATAGCTAAATGCAAGTGTACACCTAGGTAGGTGAAGAACATTTAACAATAAACATACCTAAAAGTTAATACGGAGGAGATTCTTGATTCTTATCCACTTAACATCAATTGCAAGTGGGCTAGCCAAAGCACTAGCTAGGGCTAATTAAGCTAAACCGTAAAATCCAAGAATCAGGCAGCCTGCAGGCTCTTAAATTCATGAGCTAGCTAGGAGAAATTCAGCTCCCAAACCAAACATTCTTAGAGCTAAAACTCATGATCAATAACCTCACCTAGGAGGGTCTTTGCTTTGCCAATTTGTGGTCGTGTCCATTCTTGTCCAGAGACAAAGTTTTGTGACATGCATGCAACTAAAGATTACGAGTAAGTTATGATCATGCCTAAAGGCACTTGTAATTAGTAGTAAACGAGCTAGGGTTTTGATATAAACTCAAAGCAATAGATCATTTTTGTCCTAAAATATTAAGTCCCTTTCCATAGTTCTAGTCATTTTTGTCCCATTTTGACATATATTTGGTGATGCAAGTTGAGCTGAAAGGAGCTAGGTATTGCAAGAAGAGTCTCAGGTATGATGATTTGTAATGATCAAATTATTTTTATGGAAGAATTTGTAGTCACTGAGATAATATCAACCACTCTTTATGGCCATATTATATCTTTAATTTTTTTTTATAACTATCTACTATATAATTAATCTGTCATGTACTCTCAAAGCCCACTATAAGCCAAATGGTTGGGTCGCTCTAACGTTTAGGAAAGGGGCAAAACTACACAAAACACTTCCCTTCTATCAATTCCTCCCCCAAATTACAATATTTTTTTTCTTTTAATTATTCTCTTGAAATTCCAATTTTTTTTTTCTTCTGTCATTTTCTTATAATTTTTTAACACTATTTCTCATGTTTTGTGCTGAAATAGCACAGGATAATCAATTAAGAGTTTCGAAATGATCTCTTAACTTTTTAAATAACTCTCCTCAAGGTTTGCGATTTTTCATCAATTATATATCACTCCAAATTGTTAGTGTCCCAATTGAGACAAATAAGAGAAATATAGAAATCTTCAACCATTTAATGATATGAAGTTTTAGTAGAATTAGTTTATTCGGAAATCATTTTCATGTTCAACGAACGCAATATAAAGCCAATTGTCACGGAATTGGTTTTTAACCAAACTCACGTGCAGCACCGACTCATTTTTTTCTTAAACCGAACTAAGTCTTTTTTTTTTTTTTTTTTGAGTTGTAAAGCAGGAAAGAAGACGCCCAAGACATATGCTGCAACTCTTGATGATCTACTGGATCCCATCTTGGATGATGTCTTGGATCCCTCACCTCTTGGATGATTTAGTTAAATGTAGGTATCACTTATTTATAGGTTTCTAATATATTAATAAATTGCTAGGATCAATTTGATCCAATAACTGTAATTCATCATCTAAAACTCTGTTATCTAGATATTTACATAGAAGATTTTAGATATGTACATATTAAAATAATGAAAGAACCTTTAAAATTAATTAAGACATATTCAAATTTTTCTTAACATCCTAGAAGTTTTGGCGTTACTCTAAAGTCTTTTGGAAGCTTTAGAATCTATTTAGTTTTTTTTACCAACTTACCCAAGTATTTATTTTCTTGCGGTGTAACACAATGCTACTACTACTCTTTATTTAGCATTGTTGTGGTACATTTATTGCACTTTAAAAATACTAACAAATAAATGTAATTTGAATATATATATATATAATGCTTGTGAATGTTTAATTAAACCATATATATATATATATAGTGCTTGTGAATGTTTAATTAAACCATGATTTTAAATAATCCTCTGTTCTTAAGCAATATTTAACTCTCCTTTTTTATGATATTAAATTTTTTTATTTTTTTCGCCTTCTTATCCAATGATAGTGAGCTTTTAGTAAAAAAAATTCAGATTCAAATCCTTTATTAGGAGTATTTGAATTTAAAAACGCCATTAAAAGAAGAGGGCAGAATAGCCTTTTTATTTTTGTAATGGTGGCTAAAAAAAATTATGTTTATGAAAAATATATTTTTCGTAAAAGTATTTTTAGACTATTTTTCTTATGCCATGGTTTTTTTATTTTATTTTTTTTCAATCAATCTTAAATAGATTATTCACATATGTATTAATACATTCACAGAAGAATTATATTCATACAATTTTCTTTAAAATTTGAACCTTAATGAAAAACGGCGAATCAAATTACAATCAAACAATAATTGTGCCTCCAAAGGTGTAAAATTCGTAAAATTTAAATTTTATAATCTCTAATTAAGTGGATATCAACAATTGAATTCAAATCATTCAAGTATCTAATCCTTTGTCGGTAGGTTCTTCGTCTAACATTTGTGAGTTTTTGGTATTTATAAGAGTTTATTATTTCAATGCTTTCTATCAAATATTTGAGCTTTAAAAAAAAAATTTAATTATGTGGACCCCAACTTTGATAATATCCGATCCCTCACCTCTTGGGTGGTTTGGTTAAATGTGGGTCTCACTCGTTTATAAGTTTCCACTTGTTTAATGAATAGTTATGATCGATTTGATCTAATAACTATAATTAATTATTCCGATATCTAAATATTTACATAAAACCTTTTAGATATGTATTTACTATAACAATGAGGAACTCTTTAGAATTAATTAGAATATATTCAAATTTTTCTTGAACATACTAAAAACTTTTATAATACTCTGAAGTCTTTTGGAAGCTTTCAAATCTATTTGGTGGTTTTTACTAACTTTTAGAAGTATCTATTTTCGTGCAGTATAACACAATGTTGTTACTACTTCCTACCTAGCTTTGTTGAGGTACATTTATTGCACTTTAAAAATACTAACAAACAACCGAAATTTGGAAAAACAAAATATTTAGTACTTGTGAATGTTTAATTAATCCATGGTATTAAATAATTCGGTGTAATCTATCAAATTACAATCAAACAATCAATCTAATTGTGTCTCTAAAGGTGTAAAACTTAAATTTTATAACCTTTAATTAAGTGAATATCGATGATCGAATTCGGATCATTTAAGTATCTAATTCATTGTCGGCAAGTTCTTTATCTAATACTTATAAGTTTTTAGTATGTATAAGAGTTTATTATTTCAATGCCTCCCGTCAAATATTTGAACTTAAAACATAAATCTATTACAAAACCAAACTACTTATAGTGGTGATCAATTATCAATCCGTCTTGATAATACAATTTTTCTTTCTTGTCTTATTAATTACTAAGTAGCTTTCTTGTCTTGTTAATTATTAAGTAATAATGCTAATTCTTTGATTATCTAATCACTGTTGCGACTACAAAGTCCAATATAATAGAAAATTTTAGCTGATTTCAAATCATTCCCGAGCATACTAAAAGCACTAAGAAATAGCATGTCAAGCAAAGAGTGTTCACAAGTGCAGCAAGAGAACTCTCAATATAACTAGATAAGAACCGAGAAATTTTCAGCTGTCTTTTTCATCATTATTAAGGCAAATACAAAACACATAATTAAAGGTTAAATCATTAGCTTATCAAGAAAAAAAAAAAAATGAAGTTTCACTATGTTCCAAAAAACTTTCCCTTGTGAAAGGAACTTGCATGACACCTGTCCGGTACCAGATCGAGTGGGCATTTGGCTTCTTATACACTCTAGGATGCATTTAAATTCAGTCCCTATACTCCTAATTGGATTAATCAAGTCCTCCAACTATGTCCACTTTCATCTATACGATTTTATTTTGATTAATTAGTCCTTATTGATTGTAAAATACAAGTGAGAACTTGCAAAGGAAATTGGACTAGCTCAAGGACTTGATTGATACAATGAAACATTCAGGAAATAAATCAATGCACGTCCAACCTTGCAGGGTGTGAGCTCAATTTTCTCCAAGAAGAAACAAGCTGTTAACTCTTTAAAATGAACAAAGACATGGTCCCAAAGCAATGAAGCAGAAGGGCTAATGACAGCTTTTGCCTCTGACTTGTTAGGATTGTGATATGCTAACATTTGTGCTATCAATTTAATTAATTTTATCCTTAAATTATCATATTTTAAATAAATATAATTCATATGGTTGATTTTACTGTTGTCCTGACCGAAACCCACTTAAAAATAATATATTTTTAGTATTTTGAGTTGAAAATTTTCAGCTACCTTAAAAAATATTCAATCCACTTTCATAAATAATTTCAAATATTTTTAAAATAAAAAAATATTTTTTTTGAACAATAAATATTCAATAATCATGAAAAATAAAAAATAAACTAAATTATTTCAATTTCTTTCCCCCTCTTTTTTTTTTTTTTTTGAAAACTCCAAGGAAGTGGCATTAATTTACATAAATAATGTCAGTTTAATTCTCCAAATTTTTACATGGTTCTAGAAATTAACTTGCTTTAAATTAAATAATATATTACAAATTCAACCATGTAAACATTTTTAAGATTATATTTTTTAAGACCCTAACAAAATTTAACATCATTCCAAATCATTTTTTTTTTACAATTTTATAAATATTTAATATTTTTAAAAAACATACTTCTAGACCTCAAAAATATTTGAAATTATTTTCAAAAAACAGATTTGAGTTTTCATTTAACATACTTGAAAATTTTCAACTCAAAATATTAAAAAAAAAAATTAGCTCAAAGAAGTTTTTGGCTAATGCTATCACAAAAAAAGCCAACAGGTATGTTTATCCACAGTATCATAACTTAAGGATAAGAAATTATCAAATTGATATTACAGAATTCGATATGTCACGACTAGTTCATCGAGGCAACAGCTGCCATGAGACCGAAGCAGAAGCATCTTCTACACACTTTCCAACTATGCCACGTGTTAGGGTTCGATTGGACACTTGTATTTCTGTCTGTCTTTATTGCAAAGGTTGGTCTGTCCCCATCACTCCCAATCTCTCATCCAATACAGAATTTTTTTATCCATTGTTTTGGAAGCATCGAAGAAAGGGATAAGGCTTGATAATTTGTTGTCTTTCAAGATAAAAATAAAAGAAAATATATCTAATTAATCTAAAATATGACACAACAAATTACGAGAAAAAATTACAAAAAAAAAAAAAAAACAATTAATTATTAAGAGTAATTAAACTACAAATGAGAAAAAAAAATGTACAAGAAACTAAACAAGGGAACCACTAATTATGATACAAAATTTTTTTAGGAAAAAAAAACTAAGATTATTTAACTCTCCAACTATTGACAAAGCAAAACAAAACCCGCAGATTAAATAAAATTCAAGAAATTAAGCTCAATCAAAGAGGGTGAGTGGTGGCCGGAGAGGAGAAGTCTCTGTTAACAATTTACATCAGTTAACTCTAGGAGCTGTAAGTAATGGAGGACGAGAAGAGGAAGCAAAAGGAAGGTTACGTAGAATGAGAAAACGAACCCTTCTTGGGAAAGGAGCATCGTTAAACAAATGCTCCAAAACCCTTGTCAGCAACACCGTGTACTCCTCCATCAGCTCCGCCACTAATGCCACCAGGATCATCTTTCTTTTCTTGTCTTTTCTTCAAGAATTGACAAATATTCAAGATTTTGCTCTAGCCCTTTGAAAAATACTCTTGACCTTAACAAAAGAAATAAAGGAGGTGAGTATTTATAGAAAAGGAAAAACAAATAGGGTTTGGCTTCGTTCTCTCTAGACTCGTCAGTAGTTTAAGCTGACAGTGAGAAATAATGGTTTCTGGTTTTCGCTGAGCCAATTTAAAAGAAGAAATGAAAAGTCAGTTTCGGGGTTTGGGACTTGGTTTTGTTAGTGTGGTTTTGGGCTAAGCAAAGCGACGGATTACCACGGCGCACAACAATAAAGCCATTTTCTTTATGGCTAAAAACATCATCCATAAATTTTAATTTATTTACAATTCAGTCTCTAACCTTTTGACTTCAGATTTAATATCCTCTGGTGTATATTTTTTTTAAATTTAGTCAATGCTAAGATTTTTAGTTATCATTCTTTTTTTAAAAAACAAAAAAAATCAATTCTTATACACAATGAGAAAGATTGAAATTTATTTTCTGAAAAAATGCCAAACTTTTCAAGATCGGAAAATATATATTTTTTTTATTTTCTAATCATTAAAAATATAGGAAATCAGGAAAAATAGAAAATAATTAATAATGATTCTAAAGGAGAGTCTCAAATAAATATCATTAAATAATTTTTATTATAGGACTATTCATGTTATCATTATTTTTCATAAAAAAAAGACTCAAGGAGGTATTAAATTTCTAAAAATAAAATAAAATTCAAAATCGTCAAATTTGAAATTAAAATTTTAAGGACTGATTTTCAAGTAGATTTAAATTTAGAGGAGGTTTTATCAATTTATCCTTTCTTTATTCCAGTGGGCTCTGTTTCTTACACGTCGATACATATGTCACGTGACAGCTTGAGCTTCTCTAGATTTTTGTTTCTTTTAAGATTTTTGACGATGAACATCAACCAAGAAGCTTTGTCGTTTTTGTCGCCAAAATAAATAAAAGCTCCCACAAAAAGATTCCAAGTGCGTTTCGTGATTTTTTCTGTGAAAAAGAGAAAAGAAAAAAAACCTACTATAGGGTTTTATCTTCGTTTAAAGAAGAAAGAAATATAAGAAAGACGATTGTTCAATAAAATTTGTCGGAATTTTTATGATGATGAAACAGTCATGTAATAATTTCTCTCTCCCTTCATGTTTATTGGTAAATACATTTTTATTATTTATGGTTAAAATCTTCTTCTAAAGAATTTAAGAAAATAATTTGGATAAAAAAATATTTATTCTCAACAAAAAATTGAGGATGTAATCAAACCATTCTGTTTGACAAAAAAAAATTCATTCAATTGGTTTAAGCCACATATATCTCTTTTATATATTACTTAATTTAATATATATTCGAATTAGTTTTTGTATTAACTGATATTAAATTTATTATTTTTTAAAATAAATCATTATTAAAATACACTTAAATTTTGATCAAATGTAAATCTAATCTTACTTAACGAAAAGATTTTATTGAATTTCCAATTTCATCCATTCCTGATTATTTGACACAATTTTTTCAAGCGATAAATAGCTGTGTGATTGTGTTTATTGGAGGAATGCTATTGAGGCATTTACCTATGCGTTTCCTTTACTTCTAATAATTCGAACAAATATCAATATTTTATTTTACTATTCTCAAGTCTATCAAGATGGATAAACACTAAGAATTAGTAAAAAAAAAAAAATGGGTAAAGAAAAGAAGTAGTCTTCTTTATCCTGGCTAGTGAGGACAGGTGGGCAGCATGAGATTAGGCAGAAACAAACGAGAATGGTCATGCTAACATATGATAATGTTTTTTATATTAAATATCTCCAAAACAGCCAGCATCACTCAGGTTCGATAGCCCACCATTTGGATGGATTCTACTGCTCGAGCTAAACTACAAGATTCGTCTGCAATATTCCCATCAATAAATTGAAAAGCTGGACGTGTTAGGCAGTGCTGAGTGAGTTGCCCAGCTGTACGCCCTTGAAGGATGGCTTAAGAGAAGGGAAAATCGCTTAAACCACCTTTTGTTAGGTAAAATGTTTCTTTAGGATATTTAATAAGTGATAATATGAAAATATGATGATAATGTACTAGTTGTCATACTCTATTTGAAGAACATTCGGTTAATAACTCATCTCGAATGGAATAATCTCATTTGTGGTTAATGGCCACCAAGACCAGGCTAGGCCTGCAAAATCGGTGAAGCATAGTCTGAATAAAAAAGATGAATATCTTTGTAGGAAAATAACATTTATTTAATAAAGACATGATTTTTTTAATTATCTTTTTCATATTATCACCGATTGTGATTACACATGAAATATAATTTAAAAGATCTCGACCCCTTAAGTGAATGTTAGAAATTATTAAGTATAAGAAAAAACATTCTACTCCCACCCTATGTAAGTTATCACATATCTCTCAATAAGCTAATTTAACCATAAAAGGATCTTCTAACTATTAAAAGATGACTTATTTTGTAGGTATTGGCTATTGAATCAACATTCATTATGTTAGGATCACCATAAAATCAAGCCGATTTGAAAGTCACTTCATCAAAAATCATATTCTTAGGATCTCAAACTAATAATGATAAGATAGTGATTGTTATGATTAGATGGTGGTTACAAGTGGTCAAGGTAAAGGAGGTTGAGGTAGTGATAGTGATGATGATGATTGGAGTGATGGTAAAGGGCCAATGGCGAAGATAGTGGTAGTGGTTAATTGAAATAGTTGGATAATTATAAGTTGATTAATGTTCAAAAAATATTTTTTTCAAACTTTTTATCAACATTTATTGATCGAAAATATTAGATTTATATGTTTATTATAAAATATTTTATATTCGAGAAAGCAAACGGCTCATACTCTATCGAAAATACAACCAACTACTAATTAAGAAATAGAGTACAACATAGTATACGGGAAGAATTTCAAGGTTTTTCTAATTTTTTCACACCTTAAGGTGTATAAAGATTGTACAAGTCAAGCTATACAAGGCATATCCCAAGATGTTAGGGATCACTAGCACTATTTTAGGAAGGAGATAATACTTATAACATATTTACAAAGATATGGTGATAATAATAATAAAGATTTATACAACATCAACTTAGAGTATATCACGTTAATTATCAACACTCCTCCTCAAGTTGATACATATATGTCACTTATGCCTCTCTCATCAAGACAACTATTAAATATTAAAATAAGCATTATCCTGGTGAGCACATCCGCAAGTTGATCCCGGGAACGAACATGAGAAATGCCTTATTATCATAGTTTAACTTCACAGGATCCCTTATTCAAAGTTTAACTCATGTATTAGTTTTTTTATCCACGAGTAGTTCACATATTTCATTAGTCATTCCTCTATATTCAGCTTAAGACTTGGATCTAAGCAACTATCTCATATTTTTTGCTTCTCTAATTAATTAGAATCTCACCTACAAATGTGAAATACCCGGATATAGATCTTTTATCATCAATAGACTTAGCCTAATTAGCATCGAGTATAGTCTTTGATATCCAAGTTATTGTCTTTTTATGAACATAATTCCTTTTGTAAGAGATGACTTTAAGTAGCGTAAGATACGGATGATCGCAATCATATGTTCTTCACTTAGAGAGTGCATGAATTGATCGATAATACTAAATGCATAAGCCAAATTAGACCAAACGTGTGTAAGATATATTAATCTTCCAACTAGTCTCTAATAGCGCTCTTTGTTGGCAAAAACTTGATTTGGATCCATTCCCAACTACAAATTCACTTTCACATGAGTGCTAGTAAGAATACATGTTGTCATATTAGTTTCCTTTAACAAATCCGATGCATATTTGTGTTAAGATAAAATAATATCTTTATTTGATCCGGACACGTCAATTCTTAGGAGATACTTTAACTAGCCAAAATCTTTCATTTCAAACTCATGAGCAAGATGGCCTTGCAATGCCTTCTTTTATTTAAGATCATTTCCAATCACTATCATATTATCAATATATACAATAAGAGCGGTGATCTTATCTCTCGTTATGCGTCAAGAAAAGAGTATGATTTGAGTTGCTTTGTCTATATCTAAAGACTTTATAAGCTTCGTAAATCGTTCAAACTATGCTCGAGAGGATTGCTTCAAACCATACAAAGCCTTTCTTAATTTACAAACTTGTTTGACATTTTTTAGCCTACATATTACATCCAGGAGGTAATTTTATGTAAACTTGTTCTTCAATATCTCTATGCAGGAAGGCATTTTCACATCAAATTAGTGCAAAGTCCAATCAAGATTCACTATTAGGAATGGTAAAACACGAATTGTGTTAATTTTGGCCATTAGTGCAAATGTATCCCTATAATCAATTCCATAAGTTTGAATATATCCCTTAGTGACAAGTCTTATTTTGTAATGATCAATGGTTCCATCGACTTGATACTTAATAATGAACACTCATCTACATCCGACAGTCTTTTTTTAAAGCAAATCGACTATCTCCCATGTTGAATTCCTTTTAACGGACTTTATTTTTTCATTTATTATTTTTTTCATCTACAATCTTTTAAGGCCTCCTACACACTATTGAGAATAGATACAACGGATAGTTAATTCACAAATGACATATTTTCCTTTGATAATAGATGGTAACATACATGGTTACTTATTAGGTACTTTAATTTTAAATTGAGAATAGGTTCATAATTTACTTTTGGTATGTCTCTTGTGACACGATTAGGTAGTATTTTTTGTTGAGAGTTTACTTAAGATTTAAATGAACCGAACTTAAGCGAGCAATTGGTTAAATGATACATTATGACAAGAGGATGTTCGTTGCTAATACCTCTTTCATTTATAAAGAATCCGATACCTTTTTCATTTATGAAAAATCTTCAAGTACAATTGCTCTTGTCGACTCTTAACTATTTATATCCTTAATTTGATCTTGTCTATGTCCATTCTTTAAGAATTGAAGAGTCTCATGACCATTGACACTAGTACTATTATCTAAGTCACCACCACCATATAGGATTCCTAAGGTCTCTATAAGATGATTCGGAAGATTTAAAGTTTGTGATTCGTTCTTGCTCCCTCTCGAAATAAAGACTTATAAACAAGATAGTACATAATATCTTTATGAAACACAACATCAAGTGAAACATACAACTTTCAAGAATGAGGATGGGAACATTGATAGCCTTTATGATGTAAGACATAATCAACAAACACACATCTAAGAGCTCGAGGTTCCAACTTATTCCTCATGTCTTTGTAAAGATGTATAAAGATAACACATCCAAAAGCTT